ATACTTCCTTGTTTTTGCTCAGCGAGATATATTCTTCATTGAATTCTTGTAACTGTGCTTGCCTTATTAAACTAGTTTTAGCTTTCTTTAAATACGATACACTTAGATACCGTGCTGTAGTGACGATCTCTCTTGTTCTTCGGAAATCTATAAACTTAAGAAGCCAGGTGACAGCTCTCACTAGTCGACGCCAACTTGAGTAATGTTCGATTGTGAGTGCGAGCTTAACCACTCGTCTTTCTGGTAATTTTTCTTCGTCTGGTAGCATGGTAACTGAATGCTACCAACCCTCATTGCTGTGGCTCAACCACTGTGGTCCATTCCACCATAACTCAGAGACTTTAAGTTCTTGTGCCAATACTCCTCTGGATAGTATGTCAGCTGGATTGTCTGCAGTCCCTACATGCCTCCATTGTTGTGCATTGGTCAGCTCAAGTATCTGATCTACGCGATTCGCGACGTAGGTTTTAAATCTAGTTGCTTCACTTTGGATCCAACCCAATGTCACCGTGGAATCTGTTCAGAGGTAGAAATCTTTGACATCTAATTCCCATGCTGATGCTACCTTTTCTGCCAACTGTGCTAACACCAGAGCGCCTCCAAGTTCTAAACGCGGTATTGTAGCTCCCTTGACTGGTGCTTCTCTTGATTTTGAACATAATAGCCGTGAACACCACTGTTCATTCTGATCTTTACTTCGCACATAGATGCATGCACCATAAGCTTCTTCAGAAGTGTCACAAAATCCGTGCACCTCAATATGATCGCTCATGACTGGCTTGCACTCCCTAGGAATCGTTAACACTCCGAGTTCCTCGAACTGTATGCAGAATCGGAGCCATTTCTCCCTTATATCGTCCGCAATTGGTTGGTCCCAATCTATCTTTATTTGCCACAGTTGTTGCAGGAATATTTTACCTTTAGTGAGTACAGGTGTCAAAAAACCAAGAGGGTCAAAAATCCTGTTAAGGTCAGATAACAATATTCTTTTTGTACATCTTRGACTCTTAGCTGGCATTATAGCTTGATATCCAAGCACATCCTGCGTTGGCTTCCAACATAATCCAAGAGATTTTACTATCTCATCTGCTTCTATTTTGATTATGAATAATGGCTCATTTTCGGCTGCTTCTACGCTTTTGAGTATCTCGGCTGAATTAGAGCACCATTTTCTGAGCGGTAGTTTGGCTGACTCTAAAACCATGCTGATTTGCGACTGTAACATCTTGCATTCATCTATAGTCTCAGCTCCAGTCATAAGGTCGTCCATATAGAAGTCCCTACGTATTGTCTTCGCTGCCTTAGGAAATCTTAGCTTTTCTACTTCAGCTAGCGATGCGAGACACTGAGTCGCCATAAAAGATACTGAAGTAGTACCATAAGTGACTGTCGCTAGTCTATAGATGCGAAGTACCTMGCTTGGTCTCTCTCGCCATACTATACGCTGCAAGTCTTGATCTTCCTTGGATACTCCCACTTGCCGAAACATCTTCTCTACATCAGCAGTTATAACATACTGATGCGTTCGAAATCGTATCAATATGCTGAATAGTTCTTCTTGTACTGTAGGCCCACACATAAGGACATAATCAGTGAGACTCCAGTTGAACTATTGGCCGACCCATCAAAGACGACACGTAACTTCGTTGTTAAACTTGACAATTTTACAACTGGGTGGTGAGGTAAATAAAAAAGGTTATTGGTTACCTGTTCATTRTTGTTTAGCTCGTGCATATGACCTGCGTTTTTGTACTCTTTCATAAAGCTGACATATGCTTCTCTCAAGGATTCATCCTGCTGTAGTCTACGTTCCACGCTTAAAAACCTTGATGTCGCCATCCTCAGAGAGTCTCCTAAATTCGTTACTTCGGATTTTAACGGTAACCGTACCACGAATCTACCATCTTGGTCGCGTTTTGCAGTCTCTTGAAAGTGTCTTGCTGCTTCCCTTTCTTCCAGACTCCTTTTGTTTGATTTAGACAAATAGCAATTAACGTCTTTGCTATTTTCTATGGCAACCCATCCATCTTCTAGTGACTGGCCGACAGATGTAACGTTTAACAGGCATACTGCTCCAACTTCTCCGGTAATGACCCAACCAAATTTGGTATCTTGCAAACACAGCGATCCTGTGCCTAAACGGATACRTCTAGTTTCCAGTATGTCGAAAAAGACGCCACCTCCTATCAGCATGTCTATCGGTCCTGATGAATGAARTAATGGATCAGCCAGCTGTGAATTTAATTCCTTTGGTAAATTCCAATCGGCTTTACCACTCGCATGAGGCGAAAGGTCATCTACAATGGTAGGTAGAACGTGACAAACTAAAGCAAATTGAAATTCCTTTATTCTGGATAATACATCTATGGTAACGCACGCAGTTGAATGAATCCGGTTAGCTCCTATTCCAGTTACTGGTAGTTCGACTTTCTTGCGAGCAAGATTTAACAGCTTARCCATTTTCCTCGAGACAAAGTTAATTTGCGACCCGCTATCCAATACTACTCTACATGGTCTTTTTTCCCCATAACGGTCCAGTACTGAGACTATAGTGGTTGCTAGAAAGACATGATTAACTCTTTGAGCTGCACAAAACACCTTCGCGCTAGGATTGTCTACCTTTTCGGTGGCAGCTTCTTCATTCACGATGGCTTGAGGTTCTTGCCTTTCGTAGTGTAGTAGCGTATTGTGTCTACCATTACACACGCGGCAGCTGTACCTTGACTTGCACACATCCGCCATATGCATGTTTGAAAAGCAGTTGAAACACAACTTTACCTCTTGAACTTTCTGTACACGGCTTCCCACTGGCATTTCCTTGAACTTGATCACGCGTATATCCGATGTTCACCTGCACAGCATTCACACTTAACGTTATGACTAGCCGTGTAAAGAGCCTTTCTAGGGTGATTATGAGCATTGCTTTTCAAATAGGATCTTTTGATTTCTGGTTTACGTTTATCTTCATCGCTGGCGTTCCGGAGTGTCTCCGAACTCTCCAATGCAACACAACAGCTTGACAGAAATTGCTGCAGCTCACTGTATTTCGGACACTCTGTTGGTTCKTCGCACTTGCCATTCATGACTGGTTGCATGGTCAAGTTTTCTTAGGATAATTGTTATAAGCCATTGATCCCAGCTGWTAACTGGTTGGCCTAGTGCTTCAAGTGCTGCGACGTGTGCGGATATGCTTGAATAAAGGCCCTGCAATTCCCTTGCCTGGCAGACCTCCACCTGTGGCGCATCAAGAATCGCACGAATGTGAGATTGGATCACCAAACTTTTGTTGTAGTATCGTTCTTGTAGCTTTTTTATTGCCACATTATAATTAGCATAGGCAATAGGTATGCCCTTGATAATGTCTAACGTTTGTCCCTTCAGAGCTGATCTGAGAAATGAGAACTTCTGGGCCGAAGGATATCCATCATCGTAGTGCACCATTGCCTTATAATAGTCAAARCAAGACTCCCATTCTAGTATGTCACCTTCGAAGCTTGCTAGTGATATCAGGGCAAGTCTAGCTCTTTGATTATGCACAGTGGAACTTGTTGATACATTATGCAGCATCGATGATGTATCTCGTTTCTCCGAATTAATGATTTCTTGCATTTCGGACCGGATGGAAAAATACTCACTCTCAAAAGATGCTCTTTCACGATTAGCATTTTCGTCATCGTCACAATTTAAAAGTTCAATTTCGCATTGGATTTCATCAAACCTTTTGTTTATATTCGGTAGTTCTTCTTGCCTGAATTCTAATAGCGTAATAGCAACCTCCCTCGGATTGAATTTGGTAACAAATGT